CTTTTGAAAACTCCCACTTGTTTTTAGTTGGAAACTAATTAATACACACACTGCCAACTCGCACTCACCATCGATGAGGCTTCCGCATTCCTCAGCTAGAACTTGACCTTCGCAGAGACTTTGTGGTTCAATTACTCGACCTGGAAATCAGATTACTTATATCTTACTACCACAACATCCTCTTCTTGTCTATTATCTTCTTAATGGTGCCACCGCCACTGGTGTTTGTGGAGATGATGCAATTTGCGGGGCTCAAAAAGTACAAGATTCAGCCCAAGGTCCATTTTTTGTTGATGTGGCGTTGTAAGGCTCACTAAAGGCCAGCTATAAAAATAAAAATAAAAAAAGGGTTGGATGTTTGACGGTTAATGGTTAACCGTCAACAAACTATCCATTAACCCAACATTAGACGGAACTTTGACGGAGAGACGATATTAATACAATTTTTAATAGTAGAGGGAGGATATGAGGGAATTGAAAGTATAAGGTTTAAATTGAACTTTTTTTGATAGTAGAGGGATGATAGTTGGCATTAACCCAAAAAATTCCTTTGGGACAAAAGACCGATGGGAATGCAGAGCGGATGGTCTTTGTCGGTTACTCTACGTTGAAGATCCGCCATTTGACGCAGGCTAGAACGCTTTATATCGCCTATAAAGACCGGCGGATCCAATCACCCAGCAACAATTTCTTCTTCTCTCCGTCGATTGATATCAGAGCCAGAACAATGTCTCAGGTACTCGAAAACCCATTTCCTATATTTCCTTCAATTTGATTCTGTTCCCTCTTATCTTGTTCATTTGGGAGGAGGAATTTGTTTTTGACTTTACATGTTCATGTTTTGATGCGTCGTGGGTTTTGTTTGTACATGATTTTCTTCTTTTTTTTCTGGGTTTTTTAGGTCCTTATTTATCTTGAATTATGGGTTGCGAATTGGGCTGGAAGTTTTGGTTTCTTCGATTTTTTTGTTTCCTTTTAATTCAGTTGTGTGTTGGTCGAGTGCTTTAGATTTGATGATGTCTAGTTCAGTTGATAATTTGGGTTGATGGGTAAGGGAAAAGAGAGGAAGAAGAAAGAAATGAAAGCCTTTGACTTATGGTCTGTTGGAAAATTTTAGAGGAATTACTTCAGTTTTGAGGCCCTGTTATTGCTTTCTGTTGGATAGAGCTAGGATCTGATTGTAAGTTCTAAAATTTTATGAAATTTGGTTCATTTAGAGATTTTCCTTCTCTTGCTTGGGTAAAGGGCAAAGGGGAAGAATTCTCTCCGTTGATATCAAGTAGCTGTTGGGATTTGGGAATGCTAGACTTTATTTCTTCATACATATTTTGCAGTGACTTGTTATATTGAGTTGTGAGCAAGTTCATTACATGGCTGAAATTCCTGCCTTTTGTACCTAGATGACAGTAATGGTTAGTGTGGCTTATATGTTTTGATGAAAAGATAAATTTTGATTGTTCCCGTGGAGATATGGTCCTCTCTCTTTTCACGTGGTTATGTTTTGTGGTTCTAATCAAGAATGGATTGCAGAGCTTTTCGTGGCAAATTTATTGAACCTTATTTCAATTTTGGTTTTGGTTTGGATCCAGACTGTTGTCCTTAAGGTTGGTATGTCATGTGAAGGCTGCGCCGGAGCAGTGAGGAGAGTTTTGGGGAAAATGGAAGGTATGGCATATCTTGTTCCTATGCATTTGTATTAATTAGGCCAAACGTGCAAATTGCCCCCAAAAACTGTTGCGTTGAAGCAAAATCGCCATTCAAAAAAAATCTTATGCAATTTGCCAACACAAATTTTCATTTTCAAAAAATCGGTCCAAATATTATTGCTCTTGAAACTGTTAAATTTGAGCTAATTTTTTGAAAATGAAAATTTGGGGTGGCAAATTTGTCAACATATTTTTTGGGTGACAATTTGCTTCAACACAATAATTTTTTTTGGGCGGGGGAATTTGCACTTTTTGCCTATTAATTATTACTGTTCTTTCAACATGTTTACCATAGGAGACACCTGATTATCTAGTGCTACTGCCTTCCAAAAGTCTTCGGATTTCTTTGTTTCCGGTTATCATTACTGTTATTGATTCTTGAATGCTTTTTGCTTGCTTTAAAGATAAAAGAGATTTTGCAATTTCATAGGAGGGTATGAGTTTGCTGAGAAAGCAATGCTGTTGCTAGCATTTGATTTCCTGTTTGATTGATGCGGTAGGTAACTAATATGTTCACAAAACATTTTCAGGTGTAGAATCATATGATATAGATATGAAGGAGCAAAAAGTGACAGTAAAAGGAAATGTGCAGCCCGATGCAGTTCTGCAGACTGTATCAAAGACTGGAAAGAAAACTGCCTTCTGGGAGGCAGAAGCACCAGCAGCACCTGAGGCAAAGTCTGATGAAGCACCAGCAGAATCCGAGACAAAAAAACTGTAGAAACTTTAGCTACTGCTTAAAAATATGTTAACTATTTTATTGTATGGTGAACTCTCTACCTATTGTACCTTGGTATATAACTTCAAATCAACCTGGAAACTACAATAAGCTCATTAGGTGCTTGTCATTTTACATTCTCTATTTGAATTTGAATAGAAGGTGATCTTTTTGTGTTTATGTTCTCTAGGATTGTTTGTTAAATTTGTTTATCAATTTCAACCTTAATAAATATGGAGCCATAGATGGGCAACAATTAATCTTCTTGAGCAAGTCCAATTTAGATTTCTTGTGCCACTGAATTTTTGCATGCAACAACCATACTGGACTTTGCAGTTACCTTTTTCCTTTTTGGTGTTGGTTGTAGTATTTTTTGAATTGCCATAAAAGTTACAATAAAAATCGCCCCTCATCGAGGGTGGTATATATATATTTTTTTCTTTTGCTGAAGCAAAGCCGCCATAACCAAACTCTGAAATCCTTCGATCAACAATATCACTATTGCAGAATGCTTTCTTTCAATGCGTGAAGATTTTTATCAACGCCGTGCATATTAGCAATTACTCCATTTTTCACGTGTAGTGAGTTCATCAGACATCAATGTCATCTTTTGCTCGCCTTCTTCAGGTTTTTGGTGACGCTCGGTGCGTTCCGAAAGGCAGGGCAGTCCATGCTAAGATTATTACATCTGGGTTCCGCCCTGATATTTCTATAAACAACTATTTGCTGTCGATGTATGTCAAATTCAATCGTTCTAATGACGCATGTAAGGTGTTTGATAGTATGCCCGAACGAGATGTTGTTTCGTGGAGCTCCTTGATTTCTGGATATTCTCAGATGGGCATACCAGAAAAGGCTCTATATTGCTTTAAGTCCATGGTGCACGATGGTTCTGAGCCGAACTGTATTACTTATGTCAGTGTGCTATCTGCCTGTGCCAGTCTTGGTGATGCTAGAGCTGGGAAGTCTATTCATGGAAGGATTTATAGGAGCGGGGTGGAGTTCAGTGTTCCCCTTAGTAACAGTTTGGTGAATGTGTATGGGAAATCTGGTCTATTAAAAGCTGCTAGATTAGTGTTTGATGCCATAGAGGGGCCAAATTCAATCTCTTGGACTTCACTTCTTTCTTGTTATTGTCAGCATGGGGAAAACTTGGAGGGTCTGAAGATTTTTTTGCTGTCAAGGAGGACTGGGGGGAGAGTTAATGAGTTTTCTTGCTCGAGTGCATTGGCTGCTTGTGCCGCACTGGAAAATTTGAAGGTTGGGATGCAAATGCATTCCCTGGTGCTCAAGTGTGGACTTCAATTTGATAAATTTGTTGAGTCAGGGTTGATAAATCTTTATTCAAAGTGTGGAGAGTTAGATTTGGCTGGTCGGGCATTTTTAGAGGCAGGTTGGGCAAATCCAGCTTCTTGGACAGCATTAATGGGAGGATATGTTCAACAAGGAAGGGGAATAGAAGCAATTAATCTCTTTCTTATAATGCACTCTTCAGGTTTCAATTTAAGCGAAAAAACATTATCTTCTGTGCTTGGAGCCTTTGCCAATGCAGAAGTCATTGAAGGAGGGAAGCAACTGCACTCCTTGATCATTAAAATGGGATTCAGTACATTTACATTTGTTGGAAATGCAATAATAGATTTATACTCTAAATGCGGGCTTCTAGAGGAATCACTGAGGACTTTCCAAGAAATGGATGGGCAAGATGTTGTCTCGTGGAATTCTCTGATCACTGGCCATGCTGGATCAGGTCATCATGGAGAAGCAATTGAGCTTCTGAGAGACATGTTATTTAAAGGATACAAACCCAACCTTCACACATATTCTATCATTTTGAGTGTTTGTGCTGATATCCCAGCTATTAAATGGGGCAAGGAGACACACTGCTGTATCATAAAACCTGCATTTCACTCTAATGTTGTTGTTGGGACTGCCCTTATAGACATGTATGCAAAGTGTGGAATGTTGAATGAAGCGCGGAAAGTTTTTGATAGTCTAACTTCGAAGAACTTGATCTCTTGGAATACCATGATTGTAGGATATGCTCAACATGGATATGGGAGGGAAGCTCTAGAGGTCTATCACATGATGCTGAGAAATCATGTCAAACCGAATGACAGTACATTTATTGGGGTATTATCTGCCTGTGCACATGTTGGTCTTGTAGAGGAGGGATCGCAGTACTACAATTCCATGATCACAGACCATGGTATTGTCCCAAGGATGGAACATCTAGCCTCTATGGTCAACCTTTTTGCTCGTAAAGGACAAACAAATAGAGCCTATGAGTTCATTAGGAGTTATTCGATTGAGCCAAGTAAGGTGGTCTGGCGATGTCTCCTGTCAGGCTGTAAAATCCACAAGGACTTGGTCTTAGGTAGGTATGCTGCTGAGAAAATTTTGAGTATTGATCCAGAAGATTCTTCAGCTCTTATTATGTTATCAAATGTATATGCAGAGGCCAAAATGTGGACTGAAACAGCACAAGTGAGAAAAATTTTGAAAAGCAAGACAATGAAGAAAGATATAGGATATAGTTGGATAGAATTGAATAACAAGATGTATTTCATTTCTGCACACCATTCCATGCAGTTCGAAGGGATAGATCTTTGTGAAAATTTGAATCACTTGAGTCTTCAGCTGTTTGATGCAGGGTACATGCCTGATGCCATGTTCTTGTTTCACACTGAAGAGTGAAATGGAGAAATGGTTTCTGGTACAGCATTTCAGTCCACAACTCTGTGAAATTTTTTATACAGTGACACATATTTGAATGAGATGGAATTAGATACTGAAGATGTAAAGCTGAATTTTTCATTGATGTACCCAAAAACATTGACAGGCCAATGAAGTCATAAAAGCACAATTATAAAAATTTGAAGTCAAGTTGCCATATAACAATAATTAAAAAGAAGAAGAAGAAAGAAGCAAGATTGTGGGTTCTATGATCATAATATGTCGCATACATTTGCATAAGAAGTGATATTGGCAAGAAATTTAGAAGTTGGTGGTGGGGAATCTTTGGAGGAGAGGTTTACATACTGCAGGGCCTGTAATCTCAGTTTCACAGGGTAGTCTGCAATGCACCCAATTCTTGGTCCTGCTCCTGTTGTCCATTTTGCAGATAGTTGGTACCCTAACTGGTATGAACTTGCCTCCTTCTTGGATTTGATCCTCTGTATTACTTGCTTCCTTGGCACACTGGTTCTTGGGCTGTGTAAATTACTTGATAATGTTCTTTTATAACTCCTTGTTCCTTCTGCCTGAGCTAATATAGAAGATTCATCACATTGTTGCTTCTCATTTTTTCCATGAACCTGTGTTTCCAATGGCCTGGAATTTTTTGGTCTTCCCAACCCCAATATGCTTCCCTCCTGACTGAAAATGCTGTTGTCACAGCCTGCATGATCTTCTGTTTGGGAAAATACCTAACTAGAACAGGGAAAGTCAGGACAAGATGAAGTAGAAGCTATATCAGGCCAATCCTGGTCCCAGCAAAATAAGGAGAAGTACAAACAGAGAAGTGAACACAGAACAGGAAACTTTCATTGAGGTCAGTTCATAGCCAACATCCTCAAGAGCTCCTTTTCTCTTCCTCAATTATTTACTTTCTCAGCTGTTTTTATTTTTCAGCTAGAAATGACACCTGTTAATCTAAGTCATCTTGGGCCCATAAGTTGCATACCTGAACTTCATTGAGGTTAACTCCACTCTCCTTCAGGAAGTCTAAGAAGCTGCTGAGATTTTCATTGGTTGGACGGTAATGCCCACTGTATGCTGATACAGACTGACAAGGCGAGCAACATTCAAGATTCAGATGTAAGAAATGCATACATTTGAAGCAACCTTAATTAGATTTTTCCTGTTCTACCATTTTATGATTTAATAGTTAACTCCTATAGTTTTTGTTTGCCATAAAAATTGTGAATCTAGATATATAACTTATTTTTACTCTTCAAAAGCAAGATTAATTCTTTTTGTTGTAATCTTCTGCATTGGATGTCTACTTAAAGGTGTCAGTTTATACCTTAAACTTCCCATCTTCCACTGTAAGTCTTCCAGCAGCCAAAGTAGCTCCTCCAGCAAGGAAGCTGGAATGATGAAATGATCCCTTCTTTTTCTGGTTGTATATGATAAAGAATTAGTCTACAAATAATTGAAAAGCACAAGTTACAGTGCAACTAAGATTTATCAAACATATTGTTTAGTGTCCACTATCTAGTCTCACCTCTCCAGCATAAAGTTTCTTTGAGGTACTCATCACAAATATCCATTTTGAACTCTGCTGTCCTGGATTTGTGTTGAAAGGATTTTGGGTTTGCTTGTGCACCATTGTGCCATTGACGATCATGTATTCATAGTTCTCCCTCTCTTGCTTATTTCAAGAAAGCTAATCAGAATTAGCATATAAGTTATTTCAAAGTGTTAATCAGAGTTAGCATAGAAAACTAAACATAAACCAAATTTTGTTCACAGAGGTATCTCATTGTCTTGTCATTGAATTAGTGTACATGCTCATGGCCATCTTCAATGAAATCCTAAAGATGACCATGAGCCTGTACTATCAGTTGTGTCCTTCAATTCATATCATAATTTATTCTTGTCATAATTTTAGAAGAGCAAGATTAACCACTTTCGGTCCAAATACAGCTCTAATTGCATTTGAGGATTTTGATTTTACAATGGAGATGGATTACTCCTATGGAACAGTAATTGGACACACCCCTTTTTTATTATAGGCACTCTAATTTAGATTTTAAATATTTTTTCATATCAGTTTTGATTATTAGGAAATAAGAACTCACTGGTCCAAGGTATTTGATGCATTGTTGCTCAAGCCTCCATCTTGGGCACGCCCTGAGGTCCAGGCCTTTTCCATTTCCAACATCCAACCTATGCGTGGAAGATGAAGTAAGTTCCTTTTTCAACATTTTCTGTTGAGTCTGGTCTGTTCTGAGAATGAAAAGAAAAGGGCACGCAGCAAAATTTCACAGAGAATATCTTGCTAATATGGTTTTAATTTTCAAAAGTCTATAAACTTGCTCTCTTTACCACTCCAAATGTGGCTTCAGGTTCAGAGGAGTTGAAGTCTTGGTAGATTGAGAGAGAAGAGGGATGGTTGTTATGCATTGCTCTGTACAAGTGTGTGTGAAATACTGCACTAAATTATTGGTGTTGCTCTGCCATATATAAATGGTTCCTGTTCAGTCATCTAATGGCTCCTGAATTTTACAGTGTTGCAAACTCCATTCTGGTAAGCTTTTTGAAGTTTCTGATCAAGATATACAATGAAAATAGAAGAGCATAACTACATATACGGATGCGTCTTCAGCTCTTTTCTCTAATACTATGTTTTGAAGTCTTGTGATGCATTCAATTAGCTGATCACAAGGATATGATTTTGTTTAGTTTAGAACTAGTAATGCTGGAAACTTCAACATTGAATAAAAATGTATTGCATATTAGAATGACATATTGATTATACGAAGGTTGCATGCTTGAATGACATTGTTTAGGCAGATTGATAAAATGCAAGGTCAGACAAAATTGAAGGGGAATCTCATATAGGCATATAAGCACCCCCTCTTTAAGCTGTTAAACATACATACCAGTAGAAAAATGGTTGCCCTGTGTCTCTTTTATACCACTCTTCATGGTATAAGTTCAAATTATGACCATATCGATGTCTTGGATCAATCTACATAAGACAAATAATGGCCAGGAGTTTGGATCAATGACAGGGAAAACTGAAAAGTATGCTAGAAAAGATTGTGTAGCTTAATCACATACTTGCAGCTTCAATCCAATGCTGGAAAGCTAATTTTTGTGCCTTAGCATCATTACCTAGACCTTTTCCAACCTGCCAAAAGAGTCATATGCATCATACACCATTTTTGATGTTGGTATATGCAGGGTTGATGAAAAACCAGAAAGGAAATTATTGGTCTGCGATGATCATAAAGTGAATAAAGCAAACAAGATGCCTTAGAAGCATTCAGCCTGATTCTGTTCCAACGTGAAGCTGCAGTTTCTGGTTTATCAAAATTGAAGAATGAAACTGTACTGTGATTCAGCCTTGCATAATTTATTGCCTGCCACCTGCAAACATTATCATCATCCTTTAATCTATGCAAGAAAACCAATGATGCACAAATTTCCCTGCTTGCATACCAGAGTTCCTCAACAACAAGAGCAGAATCGGCTAGCCTGCGCCTCGTGCGGTAACTCCTGTATACTTTCTGTAGCTTCACTGCTGCTCTTGAATCAAAGCCATCACTTTCCTCCTTAGAACCCATTTTCAGATCAGATTCACATATGGAACATGAATCAAAGAAAATACTTCAGTCCATGTTGAAAACTAGGACAAGATGAAAAGGGAAATGGTACCATACAAGGAGAGATGGAAATGAAAAAGAAGGCTTTAGCCAATTTAAAACAAGCATCCTTTGTTATATGCATCTAGTTGTTCTATCTGTTTGCATTTAAACCATTGCTTTCTTTTGGGTTTTTATTTTGTTAGATTTAAATTGATAATGCCACTAATAGATGGTACCTTATGCAGTTACATCATCCAACTAACAACATTTGGTTTGGACAGATTTGATACAGTCGAGAAAGAAGTGGGTCTACACTCATCCATCCTTTGTCATGTCTTGCCCACCGCACCTAGAAAGTGCTTTACCCCCTTGGTTTTTCTCAAGTTTCAACCAAGGTTCCCTTTGAAATGGTTTTGACCTTCATTTTTCTTCTTCCTGATATAATATCAAAATTTTATGGAAATTATTCTTAGCTGGGTTTTCCTCCTCTATCAACTTGGACATTTGAAATTGTTTTGTTAATATATCAGAGCAAGAGCTTTTGTGTGATCTCTTTTCTTTTCGGATTATGAGTTACACAAAAGGATATAAGCATCTCACATTCTTTTACCTATTTCACCTATATGTCTAACTTCACATCCACGAAAAGAAAGTTATTACAAGACTACGAGGTAGGGTCATTGGCTTGATCAGTCGTTTTTATTATTGAATTTTTTGTGTTCTAAAACAGGCACAAAAGATGAACCATATTCTAGAACAGGAATCCTGTATCCTACCCTACTTGCTTCTGTTGGCAGCCTCACCATGCCAGTTAAGGGCAGTTATTAATGCCTCAAAAATGCATTATTTTATGAACGGAACAAATTGCAAGTAAATGTTTATGCAATATATCTGAAAAAAAAAAAGAACACTATGCAAATTGCAATTCCTTAGGAAATTATTTTCTCATTTCTGTTTTTTCTCCTCGTTCACCAAAGTTGATAAAATGCTTAGGAAAATTATTATAAAAAAAAAGGTTTAGGAAATGTTAAAACTATTTTATCTTTTTTTTTATTAGAATAAATATTTATTTTATTAATAAAACTCAGACTCATTTATATATTTTAACTAACAAATTCATTTGAATTAGGAAATAATCTGAACTTGACGAGCCCTCATATCAAGCAATAAAATTCTAAGTTTTAAAGCTAAAAAGGAAGTGTAAAATTCAGTGGAAAATCGTGAAGCAATATGTTTTTTTGGCCAAACTTAAAGCAATATTTAAGGCAGATAAATAACTAAGAACAAATTTAAAAAGGAAATGCTGCAAGTTTACTTATTGTCTTAAGAAGCATAGAAAAGGAAAGGCCACAAAGGCAAGCAGTTTTGATGATAACAGGAAACAAGAACACCAATTAGTTTTGATGTTCACAACACGAAACAAAGAACATTTAGTTTTCACAAACTATTAGGTAGTTATGATCTTTGAGGGACGCCCAACGGAGACTCAAAGCATCTCAGAAAAGCAGGCAACATTGCAACCATCAATCATCGGTTTCATGTGAGAGGATCATCCTTTCCAGCTGAAAACACAAATGATCACCAGGTAAGGGAAATGTGTTCACTAAAATAAGCAAAGTTCATATATTATTTAAAAAGCTATCAAAAGATCCAATTAGCAGAGTGACATGAAGAAGGAAGCAAGGTCAGATTTCTGAAGGTTGCTGATACAAAATTAATGAAACAACTAATGTGGTTTTGAAGAAGATGTTGAGGAAAAAAGAAAAGCCAACTTTCTTGGAAAACTCTTTCTATCAATGTATAAAATTAATTAAACCCAGAGATACAAATGATAATGCAATTGAAGAAGCTATCTCGAAATCTCAGATAAGATGTCCAACAATAAGATTGCACTTCTTAGAACTCAGCCATAAGTTTGATAAGTTTCTATAATTTATGAGAAATACAATGAAAGTCCAACAAAATCAATGGGCAAGGCAAACAGTATCACAGAAGAGAAGATAAAATACATGAAGCAACTTGGGGAAATCTTATAGAATCGAGAATCAGCCCAGCAGCAAAATACATATCTATGTCCATCTATTTTAATGTAAACCGTAAATTAAAGCCTGCATTACCTCCACTATCTTGTCCAGCTTCTCATACAGAGCCAAGTATTCATTTTTGAGTATCTCAAAAGCACTCATGCATCTATAAAACGGAAATATAATTTCTGTCAAGGATGTGAAAGCTTCAATGCCTAATCACAAACAGCAAGAACTAATAAAGGCTAAACAAGAAAGAACTTATTATTCTGCCATCTAAAGTTTCATCTATATTAACACATGAAAATGAATGAATATCTACATATATGTCTACCTATCTATTCATATAGATATCAGTATATAATCACTAGATCTAATATGCTAAAATAATGTAACTAGTGAATAATCTATGAACTAGAATCATCTCTCTGTACTACCTGGTTCTCTACCCAATGATTTTGAGCTCCAGCTCAAAGGATAATTATGCAGTGCCTCTATTAGATAAATATATATATATATATATATATATATGGTATGAACTAAAGTTCTTTAATTATTGGTTCTCTAGCTAGGAGAAGAATTACCTATCATTTAGTTAAATCTATTCATATTTCCAGATATTAAAAATGGCCATAGACATCCTTTATGCCTCTTCTTCATTCTTCACCTAACACCACCAGCAGGAAGAATCATTGACATCTCAGACTAATTTCTAGTTGCTACTCAAATGAATGACTCCAATACAAAATGGGTAATGTTTTATGCTTTTGTATAGATAGATTAGGAGTTCCTCAACTTAATTCGAAAGCAATAGAAACTAATTTGAATGCAGACAAGTTCATGACTAGTGCAAAAGTAGAAGACACATTTTTCTTACTCTTCTTTAGATCTGGCATCAATAGCCTGAGAGAGTCTAACACATGCATCTGCCATACGACAAGCACCAATGCTGAAAAACCAAGTTCAGAAAAATGACTAAGCATAAATGAATAATTATCATTATGGTGATATAATGCAATGGAAAGAGACATAAGGATAACCTATCAATAAAAAGGGAATCACTGGGCAAGCTAGCTGTGTCATCAAAGACATATACTAATTAACTGCTAGAAGATCCAAAGAAGATTACAATACAGTAATACACTGAATTATCTACCTTATCCAACCAAAAAATTGCTGGAAAAATATTCTGTTAACACTTCTCCCTTTGACAATAATATTATTTTCTCTTGAGATAGACACAAAACCGATTGTCTCATCTAAAAAAGAATGAAACTTAGAATTTAATCCATCTAGTTATGAAATTAACATAAAGGGTTATTGTTCCGATGACAATGGAGAAAATTTGAATTAATTTATCTATAGCAAATCTAAGAGTTTCAGCTTCACTAATAAACTCATAATCTTCTATATCAGGAAAAGGCACATCAATTTAATAAACTGCTTAAACTTTCACTGGGATGATCACTCGTAGATTGCTGACGTATGCTCACTACGTATGCACATTACTTATGCAATGGGATTAATGACATTCTACATGCACATTTGTTCGTATATTCGTTGACAAGGTCCTAATAATTTGTGGATATTGCAGAAACGGTTGCAACACATTCTCAAGATTCAAACAAAATCTTTATCCAATGAACAGAATCATCAAATTAATAGTCCCAATTCTTTGGTAGACTGCCATGTGCAATCAATATAATAGATAAACTGAGGTTTTTAGAATTAATACATGGATTCATGAAAAACTATATAATTTACCATGAGGTGCTCCCTCTTATTTTGATGCAAAGTTCCGCCAGTTGATGAAAATCCAGATCAGTTTTAGCCCTGCAAATGAAGTAAACAAAAAGAAATTTTATCCATGCTAAAAAGAATGGGAAATTTCTTGCTAAAATTGAAACACTATATTATCAAGGCTGGAGAGATATACAAAGCAGCAGTCAATTCTCTTAAGGTGTTGAAAGCATCAGAACTGAATGTAGGAATCAACTCCGCAAAAAAGAAAGGACTAATTATCTCCTTCAAGTCTCGAGCCTCAGCAAGACGATGATCCACCATGCCCTGCAAGAAGGAAAGAAAAGAACAGGAAAAATAATCAACTAACAAAATGCATAAGCAATCAATCAATAGAATAGCTAAAACAACCAAATTGAGATAAATTATATCAACCCTCAAACCACCATATCTAAGACACAATGACAGAAGGCTGTAATTTATAAAAAGAAAAGAAAACAAAACAGATTGTCTTGCTACAGGAATTCTGGAAATGAATAAATCTCAAAGTTTTTCCTTTTCTACTTATGTTAAGTACTTTCCTTTCAAACTTCATTTGCCATTAACAAGCAAATCAAATGCCATCACAAAATTTTCCTCTTAACAAATTAAAGCTTCAAAAAGCAAGTTTGTCTTTTAAATCCTGTAGAACAAACTTAGCTTCATACCTTGTGCCCATGCATTTTCACAGAGAAAAAAAAAGAAAGTATATCATCAAGACCCTTTACAAATTCAGACACAAATATGATAGAAATGCATCTCTATCAATGCAGAAAAAAAAAGAAAGATTACTTCTTGCTCCATAGAGCTGATCAAAGCAATGAGCCGGTTGTTCAAAGCCTCCCTATTGTTAGCCATTGATGAAAGAACCCAGAAAGGAAATTGGGAAGAGAAAGATAAACAGAGAGAATTTCAGTGAAAGAGGTGTGGATTGTGAGGGTGACAGAGAAGGGTATTTATAGGGGTTTGGGGGAGTAACCGCCGCTGATGTTGCATGCAATTGCTGGGGGAAAATACAGAATTCTCACGTGAAACAGCATTTGATCCTTCCTGTCACTACATTATGGTGTGAGTTGTGGGGATAATGCACAATGAATGAGCATTACATTCTATGCTGGAAGTAAGCAACCAAACTGGCGTTTGGAGCTCATTCACCGGCCTTTGCACGTAGAAGCTTACAAGTGTTCATAACACAAATTATTTGAAATCCCTAATACTAATAGAACAATTTGCATCCCCAAATTCCTTTTCGATTTCCCCCTATTCTGAAATGCAGCACTGCGTCGGCGGCACTTTGTTTTTTTCTTTTTCTTTTTCTTTTTTTAATCTTTCTCTTCCAATAAAAGTATTTATGAGAAATTGGAAATGTTATTATGGGATTACCTGTAAAATTGGAAATGTTATTATGTGCATTAATGGTTGAAATAACTTTAATATGTTTCTTTATATGTTAACTTATTAAAGTATTAAATATTTTTATTATAATTTATTTAATTTATAATTTAAATTATATTGAATTATAAAATATAAATTATTAAATAAAAAATAATTTAATATTAAGGGCTAGACTTTTATCTAATTATTAATATAATTGTACTAATTACTATCATTTTCAACATTCTGATTGTCAACAGACCAAAAGAAAAAAAAAAAGTGCAAGAAATTATCAGTTAATCCCCGATGGTTGGATAAAAAATAGCATTTCCACTGAAATACAGCAAATGTTCCATTGTGAATTGCGCAAAACTTCTATTGTGTAGTTAAGAAACTATGGAAATAACATTTTTATTAAGGTGTTGGGATGAATAGCCATTACTGACATGTTGTGACTGTGTCAATTCTTAGGTGTTACCAATAATGCAAATCTCAAAAGCTGATTTTCATAATTATTTGAATTGATTTTCTTGATTATTTGATAAAGTTGAATAAATTTTGACTATTAGTTTTCTCCAATATCTGAAACCAGAACAGTAACTTTGAACAGGCATGATTGTTTCCAATAAACTTCTCCATTTTTTAGTACCATAATATTCAGGTCATTTGTCACTTGATAGGCGTTTTAAAGCAAAACTCAATAGCTTTGGTGCCTGTTTCTGGTCTATTCATCTTTAAGCATATAACTATGGATCATATACTTTCATAATCCAACCATCAGTGTCTCAAAAATGATTTGATTTGTATCATATACAACTCATTTTCACAAATTAAGTGTGTTGCTGAATAGGTGCATGCGAGGGCAAAAGAGCAAGTGTGATGTGAAATAATCATTCATTCCATTCATAATATACAACATAAAACCGAAATAGTTTCTGCTGTTCATTACATAATAATGGTATGTTTCAGGACTTGTTTTATTACTACCCTGAAATCAGAGCAAATAATCTTTAAATTAAGTATATAAAGAATGTAATCTTTACATATAATATCAGATAGAAGACTGATCTAGCATCGAAGCTCTCCAATCAGAATTAAGTAAAAGAAAATTTCATATTCGTGGCCCATTTCAAAGTATGGCCAGGAATCAATGACTCAGGAGTGTACCATAATAATGTAAAGACTTACTCCATGTTGGTGTAACTGGAATTCATACAATCATACTAGGTAGGGCTGCTTTAGGTTCTTCCTACCTCGCTTTCTTCTTGGGTTAGCACTTATCATGCAAGAAAAGGCATTGACAAGCTCAGAATCCTCATCAGTTATCAGAAAGTCTGCTGCGGTTGGGTTGGCAAGCAGGAGCTTCGCAACAAGGTAACCTGCAATAGACCAGGTCTGGAACAGGTGTGATTGTTTTCCAATAAACTTCCCTTTCTTTGTATCGTAATATTCAGGCCATTTGTCCCTTGATAAGCGTTTTTCTGCAACCTCAATAGCTTTAGCGGCCATTTCTGGTCTATTCATCTTTATGCATGCAACTGTGAACTGCAGAATGGACTATCATATTAGAATTTTACGCATGGAGTCATGGACTGCCAAACAAACAAAAACAACCTTCACTGAACAGAAGCCAAACTGGTATTACAAACCCAAGACCTGAGAAGACAGTTTATGACAACGACCAACTAGCAGCAAAATGATTATTGACAAAAGTAATTAAGATGGCTACAACTAACCTGCCAGAGTAGTGTTGGCCATGAACCAGCGTTGTGGTAGGACCAAGGCCTGCATTGCAAACAAAATGAACCCCCTTAGGATTAAAATACCACACCAGAGACACATATCAAAACATTGTTATGGTAAAGGAAGGAATATTACGTGTTCTTAGGATCACTCCCAGTGATAATCTGCCACTCTTGACCTTCAAGAGCTGGGTAACATATCTTTAACGGCATGTCTGCAACCAAATCTGCCCATTTGGCTTCAATAAGGTCCAAGATGGCATGTGACTGATCTCTCGTTGCAAGACCACTTACAACAGACCACAAGTTCCCAAGTGAGAAGAATCGGAAATCCATGTGAGCTGGTTGCAAGTTCCCAATTAGGTAGCCTCCTTTATTGGGCACCCATTCCACCAACCAAGGAGGAATTTGATCAGGGTAAATGTTGAACTTATTAACTGCATCATATGAATACTCCTCAGTCTTGTAACGGTAAATTTCATTGAGTTTTCTCAAATCAAGCCAATAATATTCTCTGATATGGAATGAAAGGGCCACCAAACGATTATTGAGCGCACGAATAAGATCATTAGATCCATCATCTGGAGCAAGCATTTCACGTGCACATAGTAAAGCTGAATAGAAAAGTGCCTACAAGAATTTAAACATCAATGTCAAGCTTAAGTTTGGATATCAATTCTTCAGGTCAAAATTGTGTGTAATGGTGAAGCAAGGAAACGATAAATTCTATCAAACTGCAGCACAAATCAAAGAAAACCAAAGGCATCTTCAGCAGTTCTCGCTTCTCACAATCAATTTCAGTTGATATTTTTCCATAACTAGTATGATTGGCAAACCATTGAATTTACTGGGGGTTGTTTCTTTTCATATTCATACGCTCTTCATAATTTACCTGGATTTCCAGAGGGTGACCATGAATTCCCATACGGCGGTCTATCATGCAAGATCCATCTGTCACTAATAATGTTGGAAACATATCAAAACCATCCGCAAGACATAGCCTCAGAATCATCTTTATTCCAGTTTGCACATCAATTCTCTCCTGAACAGAAAGATCACCAGAGCACTTCCCATATGCACGTAATAATATAATCCACCATAATCCTACAATTTAATACAGGTACATGTAAAAATCTCATATATATGAACAGTTCAATGCAAGAAAACATCATCTTTTAGACAATTATCTTACCAGAGTCAACAGGTGCAACACGACCAATTGCTGCCTCTCCAAAGTCTGGATCCAAAACCTCCTCTGTAGCAGATTCATCATCATCAAGAGGAACCGTACGCACCTTAAAACTTGCAGGCATCAAACCCTGACCAGGGCTATAACAGTCCATTGTTTTTTCCCAGCTCTGCAAGTTGGTTACATAAACCAAATAGATTACACCAGAAATCTCTGAGGCATACTCAAGCAAAAATGCTATTTTTCCTTTTTCTTTTCTTTTTTTTTTTTTAGGTAAAATGTGAAATTTATTACCCAAAATAACTGTCAAAAAATGCTATTTTTCTCTACTGAATAAATTCAGATGCAATCAAACAGCACTTTTTTTTCTTTTTTCCTTTTTAATGTAGATATTAATATTACTGGTTATATTATACTATTTTTGGTTTTCACAGAAAACCCATCTACCATGCACATAACTACCAACTTCAGCAGCTGATTTCCTCTAGAAAGGACTCCATAGTAAGTAACAAGAAGTTGAATTATTAATACATTGAACATCAATATATTAATTTAAGAACCAAACCCTTCATAGTGCACAAGTAGTTATATACTTCACCGCCTTATCTTAGGTTTAATATAAAGGTGAAACTTTAATTGCAGCCGAGCAGGAAAAAGGGAAATTTTTCATAATAATCGAGAAAACAAAAGACATAAGATATATGTCTACTCAATGCTTTGTTTATTGTCATTAGATAGGGATTAAAAGTGAGCAAAATAACTTGGCATCCAAAGATATGCAAAATTGATTAGGTGATATGATAAAAAGATCAAAATTATACAATCACATTTTTACCTGCAATTGAAGTGTATGAAGGATGAAATTCCGAACAATGTCATACTCTCCTTTTAATAGAAAAGCAATACCAGAAGGTATAAAGTCACGAATAAATACTTGATCGTAATTCAACATATTGGAACTTGTGGGGTCATTGGCAGCAATTGTTCCAACAGGACAGCCACAATAGTATACTACAGAATCCCGCAGCAAGTCCCACGCTTCATCCTCAATGGGATCAACACTAACTTTGCGAAAGTTTGTTGTTGCTGAGTCAGTTGCACCATTAGATGTCAAACCCTCAGTTGCACCATTAGATGTCAAACCCTCCTCCTTCGCTTGCTGAAGGTCTTCAAACTCCAAAATATTTGGCATGTCCACTGCACCATTTAGATTTAATGTCTTTGCACTATCCACAAACCATGCTCCATTTTTTTGCTCAGCAGTTATCTCACTTGCACTTTCTGCTTGCTGGCATTTGCAACTAAGAAGCATCAACCTGTCAACAGCAGCTTTGCCATAAAAACTACCACCTAGCCCTTTATTCCAATAGCTTCCTATTTGACATTGACTTTGTACAGTATTCGAATACTTGAAGAACTGCATATGCTTTGAGGCCCTCCCTTTTCCAGATTTGATGTGGAATTTAGAAGGGAATCTTAAAACAGAAGAGGTTAAATACAGATTACCCCTTAACGGCCGAGAAGCAGCCCCAGATAAAACTTGCAGAACTGCCTCAGAAGTTCCCACTGACATGATGTTCATCAAAAGAATCAAATTCTATAAAAACTGCAACCTAAGGCGGATCAAGGCACTCCAACCGCAATTAAAGATAGATATACAAAACTGCCCAGAATCAAAAACAACAACAAAGGTGCAGAATCAATACATCAGATGTAGCATAAGGTCAGCCTAAGAAATCAAAGAAAAAACATATAAATACGACAAAAATTGCATCACAATCTGCATGTATAGGACTTCCATAACTTCACAAATGAAATAAAGACATCCATATTTTGGAACTCCGTAAAGGCTTTTCTCCTAGGAAAAAGAAAACGAATTCCCCATTTCTTCTTTGCGTCCTTTCCCCCCACCAACCAAACAAAGATAACGCTTTGGGGAGATGGAATGAAGAATTCACAATTCCAGATGGAGAAAACAAAAAATCAGAATTCGCGATAACCACTTAATACAAGCAGAAGATGATAACTTATGATTAGGCATCAGAAATGAAGCAAAAACCACATAATTATGCATAACCATTGACCAGTAACTCAATCAAACAATAAAATACAAATATCAAGCAATGATAATCATGGAGCCAAATTCAGACCGTATATACGCAACTGCGAAAGTAAGCGCCTTTACGTTTGAAAAATTCAAATCCTCAGATTTCTAATGCACTTGATGAACAGAAACTGCCAGACAGAGGACAAAACTAGGCATTCGGACAGTAATGCATACGAGAAACAACAACCCCAGATAGAATCATAAAGGAAAACCTTAAAACCACAAGGTGCTCACCAGATGTAAGAAGAAAGAAGTCGATTCTGAAATGGAAATTAGGAGAAAGAGAAGAGGAAAAAGTGTAAAAAATGGAGGATGCAAAGTAATTCAGCCAAATATAAAAATCTGGCTATGGTATGTACGTGAGGCAGAAGAAACAGCACAATCACTGTCAAATGTGATTTCTTCACGGAAAATGGTTGATTTTGTGTGAGACCGATCAACTTTTTTATTGCTCCTGTTTTCATCCTTTCTTTGACTGATTTTTTTAAGAGAAATGATTTTTTTTTTCTCACCACCTTTTTTTATCATGATATGTTGTTAAAATTATTAATTTTTTTAATTTATGTAAAATTTATAATATTAAATATATTTATTTATTTAATAATATATAAAAATTATATAAAAAAATAATATAAAAAATTATACTTATAAAACCATCTTTTTTTTTAAGTATATATTTTTTGATATTTTCCATAATTCTAATTTTCCGATGCAATCATATATCATATATGTATATATATATATATATATATTAGTATAATTTTTTCACTGTTATCCACTCTATATATTTTTTTGTAATCATTTTTCTATTTTTTTTCTTTCTTCTACTGTAATTTTTTTTGGTGGTTATCATTGATATTAGTACATCAAAGTAGGGGATTTTTTTTTGGTTTCAGATATTTGAACAGCCATTAATCTACTTAACAAGATATAATTAATGAGAGTTAAAATTCTACTTTATTTTTGGTAGATTAGTTCAAAATTAATCATTAAAAATTTTGTTTAATCTAATAATCGATAATTGTTAACAAATACTCCCTTAAATAGAGCATTGTGATTGTTTGATTAATAAGAGGATTTACTCTTAATAACAATTTATTAATTCAAATGAAAATAACTCTTTTTTTTTAATTAGATTTTGAGTTAAGTAGTGGAAAAAATAGACATACGAGAGTTTTCCGTATAACCCAATTTAATTCTAAATCAATTAGAATTAAATATGACTTTTGAATATTAAAAAGTTAGTAAAAAAGAAGAAGAAGAAAGATTTACCTTTTATCTTCAAACTCAATACTCAATTTTTAAAATTAAAAAAATTGATATTTTAAAAAAGTTATAAAAGGAATTCACTTTTGTAAATTCTTTGAATTGGACTTATTTTCCTCCAAAATGCGATTTTAAAAAATTGTGAAAAAAAAAAAGTTGTTGGTGTTGATGTGGTGTTGATGCAGCAAACCTTCAAGACCTCCTTCGTTACAATCTTCTCACGAGATTAACCTGTAAAGTTTTGAGAGTAGTTTTCGGGATAGACACTCAAATACTTAAATTAGCAATAATCTGATTTATGCTCTTAAGGAAAGTATTGAAAGAGTTTTCTCTCTAGTTTTTTCATCATATCTTTTTGGAAAAATTTGTGAATGTATTTGGATGTCTTGGTAGGATATCCACGTGGTTTACTTAATCAATAATCATGATATGATGTGTCTGATGAAATAAACATCTTGGATGAATATAACATACCTTAACGGAGTGACCACATTAAATGAGTGTAGCGGGTTCTGGCGAAGCAAGTTTTTTGGAGACGGAGAATTAGGTAAAGACAAGCAATTAGGTAAGGGCATTCTTATTGCAATTGTCATGCACTGTGGCAGAGCGTTGAGCTGAGCTCTACTCTGTCCTTACAGGTGGGATGACAAATTTGTAAACTCAAAAGGGTAAGAGTAATTGGGAGGCCCTAATAAAATAAAAAGAATATCTTCCCATAAAGAATAGGAACAAGAAGGTCCATTATCCAATAAAACATATACTCCACGCGAAAGGTTGATCATAGATGGTTGGATCATAGTATGATATAATATCATCCAGTCAAGTCGAGTTGCCACAACTCATACCGACTAACAGACATGATCCAAATCAACAGTAGCATTGGTTGTTCATTAGAAAAACAAAAAAAAAAAGTGTAGCATTTAGTGGACCATATCAACTATGTATAATGCTTGTGGATTTAACTACTCTATATAAAGATTTTCTTAATTTATTCATGTACTTATTTTCTTTAAGGTTTTTCATACTGTGTATTGTACTCAAGTCCTAAATTGGTATTGTATACAATTGTAACCTAATTTTAATACTTTTTTGGTGAACCAAGTTAATTTTAATATATTTTTAGTATTTTTTTTAAAACAATTTGTAATTATTTACAGTATTAATTGAGAGAAGATGGAAAGGGATTCCGTGAAACTCAAACGTGCAACCCACTAGAAGTGAACAACTCTAATCCAGAGTTCAATGTCATTGGATTGAAGCGAGTCGTTCAATATATTTTTAGTATTTACAAAGTAAATTATGGAGATATAAATATCTAATGATTCTACCATAGTACTTTTTTTAAAAAAATGCCTATTCCATTAAATTTTTTTTTTAAATGCCTAATTTTGTGGAGGTGGAATGAGGAAATAGAGTTGACGTAAGAGAGATCTATGTTCACAATCGAGACACGTGGAGTAAAGATCACCACACGTCACGGAAGTTACCTTACCAACATGTCAACTTGCCATCCTCACCTAATTTCTTTCGTTTTACTTTCGGTTATTGAAGCCCATCTCTTAGCCCAATCCCAATACCCATGTGGCTTATACACTCTACATGAGAATATCAGGCCGGCCCGTACTGATATTGCAGACCAGCCCACACTTATTGCTGCAACCCACCTATATAAAAGGCCAGCCCACAAAATGTTTTCATTTAATCTTCAAAAAAAAAAAAATGGCAACTATAAATACCAAAGAGTAGGAACGGAAGGACCTATTCAAAGACGAGGGGCGAGAGGGTCGCAATGATAATTCTCCTTAGGTCAGCTCTTCTCTTCCATTCATTAGATTCAAACTTTCCTTTACCGGTAATCTGCGGCACTCATTTCCGACCATCGGAGGTCGGCCTTCTCGCCGGTAATTCCCTGCATTGCACTCGAAGCTCCAGCCACCGTATAAGGCAAGCGTTTCTTCAACATTCACTTCACCTTCTAATCCTATGTTACCTAACGATATGCTGTTCTCAAGCTTAGGGATCGCATTTTTTAGCTTCGTGTGATTGTTTCTCGATGATCTTGTGTGGATTTTTGTTAGAATACTTGTTCAAGATGATTTTGAAGCTTAATCTCGCGCGTTTTCGATTTTGTTTCTGTGCAAATTGCATTCAATTAATCTGCAGTAAGTGTAGGAGAAAATGGAAGCTCTAGATCAGGCATATTGCTATATAGGTTTATGCTATTGTAAAGAGCTTGTATGGATGATTTACGTTGCAAGTTAGGTTTAGATAAATATATGTCCTGTATTGATTCTTTAACCTCTGCTTTTAATTTTGCGTTTCTATAATTGGGATTAGATTAAACTGTTACATAAGTGACACTTATTGATTTAAGTTACTCTTGATTCGTTAGAAATAGTCAGTCTTGGATATTCCTCACTAGAATTCATTTCTTTGGATTGCAATATATATTACTAATATATCTGCACCGACGAAGTTGGAAATTGGTGCTGGTCATTTACTTGCAGCAGTGTTTGTATCTTACTATGCTGAATTCTGCAACATAGGGCTGAGATTAACTCCATAATTATTTTGTCTAGTTACCATCTCTGCAGTCTTTTTGTTGCAGGGCAGTAAAAAGAATATGAGTAAAAAATACAAGAGAGAGATGAAAAGGAAGCGAAGAAAGAAAGAAAGAAAGAAAGAAAAAAAAAAAAAGAGACAAGAAAGGAAAAGAGGATTTCAACCCCCAAGTGATAAAGGAAACTCAATGAGCTGGCAGAATTCCTACAATTAAAGTGTTTGAATACCATTTCATTGTCAGGCGTTTCACTTTGGAGGACTACACAATCCTGTAAGTTGAAAGTTTGATTTCTTTTGATATTAACTCCCCGATCAATTGAAGCAACTTTTTCTCTCTTACTTTCTTTTTATTTACTAGTTGCTGATAGACAATTATGTTATTGTTTGAGGAGGTGGTTGAGCGTTTCCATTTGAGGAGATAGTTGTTACATTCAGAGGAGATTGGAATGAATGATTTTCATTTCTTACAGAGAGAAACTAGAGGATAGGTGTGAGATCATAGGAGAGCTAAATGGTCATGTTATGACTGATAAATTTCTCTTCTAACAATTGGAAATCTTTATAATGGGTGTGAAGTATCTTGGTTGGTTAGAAAGAAAGACTCGCTATTGAACAGGAGAGGTGGTGCTGAGTTTGAACATTGGGCTCTATTTAGAAAGACATCTTGATGATTGAGATTAATCTTAGGCCTCCATTTTCAGGTATTGTTCCTATTTGTAAGCTTAATTCATGATTTCTTTTTCGTAGTGTTTTAGCATTCGGTTAAGGGCCATAGTAATCTTAGATGAATATTTTTTTTTGAATGGATAATCTTGGATGAATATTAAGTGGTAAAAGTTAATGAAACTGAGTGGTAGTAAATTATCAAAATGATAAACAAATAAAGTTAAATAAACTAGTTACCAAGGAGTATTAGCTGCCATAATGGCATAACCATAACCAATACTACTTTCCCATGCCCAAACCAAACTCTTTGAGCTTTCCTCAGTAGTTTTTCAATATTAAACTAACTTTTATTTGCAAATGCTGCTAACTATGATAACTTAATGTATGCTTTACCAGTTTAGGTTTATTTTATTTTTATTTTTTATTAATAGAAATTAATAAGAACACCTGCCTAGTTCTTTTCTGGCCATCAAACTATATATGATTGTAGTTAAGTACCGAGGATTGTTGACCAATCTGTTGTGAAATTTGTAGTTTACATAATCTTCATTTCTGTTAGTTAAAACTTCTCAAGTAATTCCATTGAGAACTAAACCACAAGGGAAAAATTTGGGGGGTGCTGAGCTCAGAAAACATGGTTATAAGCATGGGTTAGTCAATTCCCTGCTGCTGCCATAATCCCTTCTATTTGCTAGTTATTCACCATTAGGATCAGTAATGCAATGGAGTTTTTTGTGATGACATTGGTAAGGACAAAGGACTTTCCGTGAAAGTGAAGAGACTTTCTGGTCCATTTCTCTTCTGTACCATAACTACCTTCCCTCTATTTCTCATGACATTTGAACTTCCAATAGGGAGGAGTATAGAATAATTATTGCCTTTGTTTTCCTTGCACTCTCTTTTCTACATAATACGTCACGGTAGCGTAATGGTCCATACACAGTGCTTACGTGTCTTTACCTTTTCTCCCCCAAGATGGACCCAAAAAGGGAAAAAAATTATCAAAAGCCAAAAACTCAGAAATCGCTGTCAGTTGTTGTTAGAATTAGATTCTTTACTAGGAAATAAATCATGAAGATAAGACCTAACAATGTAAAATGGAAGTTAAATATTGATAAGCTTCATATGCTTTTGATATGTGGTAAGTAATTAAAATCATTAAATAAAGTTACGACTTGTAATTGTGTTTATTTTTTATTTAAGAGTAAAAAATTTGCACAAACAGCAGTGCCATTTGAATGCAGTTAGATGAGTATTTTTCCTATTTTGTTGATGATCATTGCAATATTATTTATTATCATTTTTTTATGGAAGTTCAAAGCTACTAGTATTTTGGTTTCTTGTTAATTTCGTTATTCTCAATTAGGATTTGATTAATGGTGCAACCTGAACTGCATGCACTTGTTAGATTAAAAAGAAAAAAAACTCATTGTACTTTGGCTTTTACATTTTGTTCAGTGTGGATTGCTGCGATTGCATGCCCTGTTTAGGTTACAACTAATATGATTGTGTGAATCCTCGAAATCCCAGGTAATTTCTTTTTTCTTTGGTCCAAAAGAAAGTCTCGGATGGTTAATGATGATAAACTTCCAAAATTATTGTCAAAGCTAATTTCTCTTCATGATGAAGTCAAGTTCTCTGATGGTTGACTGTGTGCTTTTCTAAATTGTATTTTTTTAAAAAAAACCGGCCATGCATGTTCCTTGCATACGGGAAAGGTTTTTGATTTTTTTTTTTTTTTTTTTTACTTGGCCGAAGGTTTTTGATGAATTGAATATGTTGTTTTCACGTTGGTTCCAAGTTCTAATGGTAGAACCTATTCACCTAGACTAGTAACTCATTTTTGTACTTTTCTTTTAATAACTATAAGATACATAAGTCATTTATCTTCTATAAATGGGTAACTATTCAAAAATTATCTTACAATAAAAAAAAAAAAAAACATAAGCCCCTTTCTTGTTTCTTTCACTTTAATTTAATTATATTTTATTTTCGGATTTGGATGTTTTCACCTCTGAAATTAGTATGGATTTACAGATATTTCATTTGGTGTAGTGAAAATGTTTTACCGTACGCTGTTCGGTTCCTAATCGTTAGCTTTCACTTTTACCACTTCAAGATTTACTTCCCCGCGTTTGTTTTAACTTCGCGGTTTAACAGGCAAATGGTCACCGAATTTCACCACACGTTCCCGTCAGAATCCCCAAATACCCCATCCCCACCATTCAAACTACTTTTAAATTCCAATCTCATCAAAGGTGCATTTTCGTCATTGCATGACGTGTAAAAAATCCCTTCTCTCCTAAAATCCTAGGAAGAGAAAAAGAGAGAGGAGAGAGAAAACGAAGGCCAACGAACACGTCCGGTCCGGACTGAAACATATCTGAACCGTCCTTTTTAGGATCCAACGGCTATCGCAAAATTAGTTACCATTTTTTTTCTATGTAACCAATTTTTTTCTATGTTTTTGTACAGTGGTTTTTATCTTCTCGTCATAACTCATAAACCCTAGCCTCCTTCCTTCATCTCTGTTCTCTTCAATCGCCGAAACAAGAATTACGTGAAGCCCCATAATTCTCCGATCTGTCAATCTTTGTTTCTCACACTTCTAGGGAAGAAAGATCCTCCTCTTTTTTCCTCTCTTGGTAAAGAGAACCGATCTTTGTATCTAGATTATCTTGTAATTATGGGTTTTTCTTCATATCTGTTTGTCAATCTGAGTTGATTGGTATTTCCTTGTAGGATTTTTACGATGTTGTCTTCTTATGACTGTATGTGTATTTATCAGCATTTTGTAACACCATGAGTCAGAGTCCGAGCCATATGCGAGTTAGAAACATGATTTTCCGAAGAATTTGTGTGTCGTAGGTGCAGATCTGGGACACTGATGTGGGCTCTGCCTTTTGGTTTTGTCACCCTAAACTTGTCATAATCGGTCGACTGACTGGGGTTACGCTGCTTTGGTTCTGTGGACTGAGTCAACTCGGTGACTCGGTGTCTATTGTTGGCATCAACTCAGATCGAGTCGTTTGGAAAGATCGAGTCAGGAGTTGGGCACAGGCAGAACCGTACGGCCATGCCGTCGGTGGGAATGAGGCGGACCACAAGGGTGTTTGGGGTGGTGAAGGGTGCGGATGGTGCACGGGTTCTGCGCTCTGGGAGACGTTTATGGCCAGAATCTGGTGAGCCTAAGCCCAAGAGGCCCAATGATGGTGATGAGTATTGCCAGTTGAAGAAAAACTCGCAAAAAAAGGATGGAATTGGAGCTGCAGCCAGGAATTGCAAGGTCAATGGCGCTGTGGATGAAGTTCCTGTGAACGAATCTCTGAAAACGGAAGTGGAACCCAGGGAAGATGGAGGGAGGAAAGATAGGATGTATGGGCTTGTCTATACTCGAAAAAGGAAGAGAACTGAGGTTGGTAATTTTCTGACGGTTTCACAGGATAAGAAGTATGGCTTACAGTTTTCTCGCAGGCAAACGAGGAAGACCAAGAACTATGGCAGTGGAAGATTGAGGGGTTTTGATAGGGCAGCAGTTCCAGTTCATGTTGAAGTGTCTCCTGTGTTCTGTTTTCTTGTTAATAATAATGGAGGTAACTGTGGTTGGAGCTGGTGGTTTTCCTGTTTATTGAGTTTGATTTTGGGGTACATGAAAAGGGCAAAGGTCAGGCTGCCAGAGCTTGCTGCATTTCTAATGTCTCAGCCTATATCGGGTGTTTACTGTTCAAATGGTGTCAAAATCGTTTTGGTAAGTATTTCTTCTTTCATTTTCCAAAGAAGCATTGTCCATTTTTATCTTTCAGGGCCTGAGAAATTAATTTTTTTTTTTATGAAAGTCTATTTTTTGTTCTTTTTTTTTTCCCTTTCTTTTTACTCTTTAAGACATTTTTTATCAAATAGGTTACTTTTCTCTTGTCAGGACCTCTTAATGTGTCAGAAAATGAAATGCAGTTAAAACTATTCTGTTTCCTCCCCTTGGATTTGGAATGATATGCTTCTTATAACACTTTTGATTTGAGGGAAATGGAGGGGAGGGAGGTGGTGACCTTATTTTGACCAATTACGTTAAATTAAATTGTTGAACCAATAAAATAATTTGATTGGTTATAATAATTTTCTCTCCCCTCCCCTTTCCTCAAACCAAACAGGCTGTTAGCTTATGAACCTCATTGATTTTTCTTCATTAAATTTTTCTCAGGGTTCTGCTAATGGCACTGGAGTTTGCAAGTTTTTTGGGGCTGGGAGGTTTTCACCTTTGTTTTCAGTGGATTTTTTTGCAGTGCCCCATTATTTTATGTACATCCATTATAGCATGCTTAATGCATTGAAGGTTCTCCAGTATGATCCTGTAAATAACTTGATTGATGAGGACTCAGATGATGAAATGATGACATTCATTGAAACACAGCAGACATGCATGTCTTCACTTAGCAACAGTAGAAGTATCACACTTGATCTTGATAGTCCTGGGAACAAGGTTGTGTTACATTCATCCATTAGAGCTTCCAAACTAGCTAGTCAACGCAATCAATATAAAACTGGTTTGAGCTCTCGCGGTATACAGAAGAGGAGGAGTTCATTGAGGAGGAAGAGAGCTAGAAATCCTTCACTGGGTGGTGTACACAAAGCTAGTGGAGCTCTGCTTTCTGATTTGATCAGTAGTAGGAGAAATGGCATTCCTTTTTCTTCTGTAGTTTCTAAAAACAAGCTTAGGAGTTCAGTTCGTGGTAGCTCTGGTGCAAACTTACAAGAGTTGAATTCTACCATCGTGGGTTTGGCAAGGGATGTTGATTTATCCTGCTGTTCTGCAAGTATATTGGTTATTGGAACAGACAGGTGTTACAGGGAAGAAGGAGCTGTTGTTATGCCAGAGCTCAGTTCTTCAAAAGAGTGGCTTCTTGTGGTCAAGAAGGATGGTGTAGTTAAGTACATGCACAAGGCACAAAAAGTTATGAGAACCTGTGCTATCAACCGTTTCACTCATGCTGTAATATGGACTGGGGACGAAAATTGGAAGCTTGAGTTTTCCAATCGGCATGAGTGGCATGTTTTCAAGGAACTGTACAAGGAATGCTTGGACCGCAATGTGCCTTCTTCTTCAGTTAAGGTCATCCCTGTCCCTGGAGTAAGAGAAGTGCCAGGCTTTGAGGATTTAGCTAGTGTGTCTTTTCGGAGGCCAGAATCATATATCTCTGTGAAAGCGGATGAGTTATCTAGAGCAATGGCAAAGAGGACAGCAATTTATGACATGGATTCTGAAGATGAGGAATGGCGCAAGGAGTTCAATAATGAGTATTTCACTGGAAGTAACCTTCTTGAACATCTTTCGGAAGATAGGTTTGAGCTAATGATTGATGCCTTTGAGAAAGCTCATCATTTTAGTCCTGAAGATTTCTCTAATGAGAAAGCAGCTTCTAAGCTTTGCCTTGATCTGGGTAGGAGGGAAGTAGTAGAAGCTGTGTGTAGTTACTGGTTGAAAAAAAAGGAGCAGAGACATTCCCCACTGCTTAGGATTTTTCAGGTAAAATGGTAAATCTGTTTTAGATGTGTCCTATTCTCATTGCTTTTATTCCAGTTTTCTGGTGTATGGTTGTGTTGAAGGAGTTTATGTTTTATGTAGGCATGATTGGTTGATTGCATTTTGCTCAAGCAAACAGAGATGGTACCCTCATAATTTAAAATTTTTTGCTAACCATTGGAAAATATACTTCCCAGGCCTTGTCTTCCAAATGAATTTTAAGATTGCCATTAGATAAGACAACCTTTCTTTTCTTTTTAGCTATTTCATTTTTATTAGTGATGCAAATATTGAATTTTACATTGATAATGTCAAATAGTATCTTGCCATGATTTGGTTATCCAAACTGTTCTTTGTGAATAAGCTCCATGTCCTAACTAATACCATGTCCATTTAGTCATGTATGTGTAGCGGGAAATGTTTATGTAGTGAAATTTCCTTCATAGTCTGGCTGCTAAGCTGCCTCTTCAAGTACTTGAAACTTTGTTTTGCTTAGATTGTATTTATGTATAATCATTTTAATATTCAATTGACCCTAGGGATGTATCCTTGTGCAGTTATGTTATCCTTTTGAACTTGGTGTATACTGGGATAATTTTTGGCTGCTCCTACCATTTCTGTTGCTTGATTGATTGGATATTTGACCAATGTGAATGTTGTCCTATTCCAGGCTTATGAAGATGAAAAAGCTCCACTGGTTCACAAACCAGTTTTGCGTAAAAGGAGGTCATTCAAACGGCAGGCAAGCCATGGGAGAGGCAAACAGCCTAGTTTTTTGCAAGGTATGTAAAGTTCTATTTATGTTTTCATACTTTCTGTGAACAATTTGTCCTCTCTTTTTTTTTTTTCCCTATTCTTATTAGGTTTTTGGTTATGTATGTTTCATAATGTTTATTCTCTCTACTTATGTGGTCAGTGGTTTTTTCTTCTTCTGATTTTATATTTTTTATTGTGAAAATTTGCTGAAATTGTATGGGCTTTGTTGTACAGCAATGGCAACTGAGCAAGATGCAGCAGCAGAAGAACAAAATGCCTTGCGAAATGTTGAAGCAGCCAAAGTTTCTGCAAAGAGGTCTGTGGAATCAGCTTCAAAGAAACGGAAAAGAGCTCAGTTACTAATGGAGAATGCTAGTATGTCAACCTACAAGGCCATGATGGCACTTAGAATTGCTGAAGCTGCTCGAGTTGGTGAGTCTTCGGATGCTGCAGGTGCTATCCTTTTCGATTGGGAGTAATATTTAGCCTATTTTATTCATATAACACAGCCACAGCCACAGCCCCAGTTGATTTTGAAGCATATGGGGGACAGACTACCTGTTAGTAGGAGAATATTGCAACTTTGTATAGATTAGAAATTGATGTACATTCTGTATGATTGTGACCTCAGCTCAAATGTTGAAGTAGGTAGTTGGTTTATTTTCTTAATGGAGGGAAAAAAATCAAATTGAAAGAGAATTACAGAAAATTTCCAGCCAATGTGTGAGAGATAATTAAATGTTTATTTTGCCGTATCTGCACGGTAATTCTCTCTCTTCACTTCTGTTGGTAATCATGCATGGTTCAAAATGATGATTAAGGTTGTTGTAATCCCCAGTTTGTATTTTGGAATTACTGCCAATGTCTGGTGATTTTGTTTTCTTAAGTTCGGTTTTGGGCACATTATAAAGGCAAAGGTGAGGTCTTCCGAGCCTTAAGTTAATTTTAATCTCGATTCTGCCTGGAAGATCCTACCATGCCCCCTTACTCCTTAGCAGCTAGCAAAAGCAGGTTCGTATGCTGCCTTCTCTACTTTCGGTAACAACATTTTGGTATTCATAATCGTTTGTGCACCGTCCGGCAGAAACTGTACTTTGAGTAAATACAAGAGGATAAAACAACTAGGGTCTAGGGGGGAATTGAGTATTAAGTTTTACAAGAGGATCATGTTATTCTTCGAGGAGAATTTATAAAGACAGCAGTGCTATTGATTTTGAAACTGCTACCTAACGACCATCGACTTTGACAGGATCATTTGCCAGCTCCTGAATCTCCTTCCTGCTCTTTATCACGCTCCATTTCCTGTTATTGAAATCAAGTTTGTCCAAGTCCTCAGAAATTGCCATATAACCGTATAGAAGCTGCTCCTCCATCTTGTTCCCCTCCTTACCCTTTTTCGTGCCGCTACTGCTTTTGCCATCATTGGATATGATTCTCTGGAAATCTACTCTTCCTCGCTTAATCTCAGAAAAATACTTGTGAAGTTTCTCTGTATTTGCCAGTCCAGGAAAAGTGCCCAAAAACTTAACCACCATTACACTCTGGTCTGCAGGCCTCCCAAGGCTCACATTGACTCTTCCAGTAATGAAGCCTTTACCTGAAATTACCCCAACAACCAATAAGGGGAAGAGAAAACACACGGAAACAATGAATGGTCAGCTTGGCCTTCTCTTCAAATAGAACATCTCTTTTTCTTGTGATGTTGAACAACAAATTTTGACTTCATGATTGCTTTGCATAATTCAAACAGAGCATATTACGAACCCATTTCAACTAGTAACTTAAGTTTCTCTGGTTATTTATATTTATAATATTAAAATGGTAGACAGTAGACATGGTAACTTCTTAAACAACTTCTTTTCAAACGATTTTAAACCAATTGCATTAACCTTTTTGTTTTGGTCAGCAGGCATTAACTAACTTGTCATGTAAATTTAATAGTCACCTCTAAGATAAGCCAGAACTCCTTCCATAGGTATGACTTTCTGCTCTTGTGGAATGTTGTTTGACATGGAAATGTTGTGGATGACAACAATTGGAGGCCAGAGGATTAAATCTTCCTTCTGAGCCACTGCTTCTGCTTCAGGCAAAACCTGGGGAGCCCATGTTACGGTGTCAAGAGGGAGTGTGGTGTCCCATCCCAACAAAACACATACTGCTTTATGGAGACCCAAGTGTTGTGCCCTCAACCCAACCTTGTGAGACATGAAGGCATGGTTTACCAAGCGTTGGGTGTCTATGAACTCCTTTGAGTAGCTGTAAAAGCAAAGATATAAGAATAGTTGAACTAAAAGGAGAAGCATAAGATGAATTACCAGAAGGGAATCATGACATTTCATGTCAGATGAGTGCTAAATGCTAATGAACACCTATAACAAAAGCTTACTCATTACCTGGAGTACAAGGCCTGCATGGATAGAACTGAATTTTAAAAATAGACTAGCTATTCTGTTTATCTGATTTCTCTAATGAGCCTCACAAAATGAATGCCACCAACAAAAGTTTTCCCATTAAAGAAATACTGGAAGTGGTTATCAGTTCATTATCAAATGAATGACAATGAAAACATAAATAAGAGATTATTATGACACACCAGGAGAGAATGAAATGAATTAGATGACTGAAACATCCACTGTTCATAATTCCCATAAACCAAAAATTATGAAATTCTTGGTCTGAAATATTGCAAGAGGCAACAACAATAACTTGGAGAAAAAGCCAAACAATAAAAACCTTTTGAGTGTGGAAGTGGAGCAAACTTACCTCATTGTAGCTTTAAAAGAAACTACTAGGAAACATCTGAATCAAAATATGTAACATGTTCTCCACTTTAAAATGCATATCATGGAATAGAAAACAGACCTTCTACCACATACGATGCAAAACAAGCTACCAGCTTTTCCTAGCTCCTTGTATCTTCTTCGCACAGTCTGAGTCTGATTCAACATTTTAGAATACTTTAAGAATGCCTCATTCACCAGTTGCTTAAATTCCTCAGTTTCCTCAGTTTCCTCAGATGGTTCAGATTTTGGAAGATTTGCTAAATCTTTCGATATGTCACAATCATTTGCTTGCTGATCCTCATCATAATAATCATTTCTTTTCCAAACTTTGATCTGTCTCTGAAGATTGCTTCTTCTGTCACGGTGGTTTGAGGCATGCCAACTTAAAGAATGATGTCTTGAATTTCCCTTAACAAATTTACCACTATCCTTAAAAAATCTGATTCCAGGCCTTGGTGCAGGTACCAAAGAATCTTCAGTAGCATACCAGTCATCAGATGTCAAATCTGCACGATGATCTTGCTCCTCATATACACTCCCAACTTTTCTATATTCCTTAGTGCCCAATATTTGGGAATATTGTTGGTAACTCATTTCTTCATAAACCCACTCATCACCCTCATATGCACCCTCAAAGTCTTGAGATGCGGTCAATTTGTTAGGCATTGCATTCTTAAAACTAGGCCTACAAAGGTCTTCCTCCGCAGCATATTTTCTTTTGATAATTCTATCTGATGCTTCATACATATGAAACTCTTTTTCCTTCATTATCTGTGTTTTTAGATCCATTCTTTCAATCTCTGAATCCTGTTTAGACAAAGGGGAATAGTGTGATCTAGTTTTCTGAAACTCTGGACCTGCTCCTCTCCCAAAATTTGATGCCTGAAGATCTTGGGATGCTTCAAAATGAGATGCTCCATAATTTTCTGACCTTCCAAACTCAAGACAGTTGTCTCCTAGACCCAAGTACTCACCAGCTTGCTTTGATGCAGATGATTTGTTCACATCAATGTACTCTGAAATTGTCTGTTTTTGCGTTGAAGGATGGTCCCATATGCTTCTTTTTCTTGAATTCCCTTTAGAATCATGAGTACCATCAATTCTGTTTGCACCATGGCACAAAATGCTTGGTCTTGAAATGTGTCTATGACCATAATCCACTGTGATGTGATCATGACCATAATCCACCATGATGTGATCATGGTTAACTTGAGTTTGTGGAGGCAGCATCCTATTTAAGTCTTCAGGTGGATACCTACAATCATCAATCACCATTTCCCCAGGTTTACCATAAGAGTAGTCCTCAGTATCTGCCCTGACAGGGCTGTATGCAACTCGTTGATAAAATGTCACATTCCTCCTAGCAGCAGTGGGTTTTCTCACGGAATCTGCAAATACCCTCTGCTTGTATGTGCTAAAACCTACTGGTTCTGCAACTTCCCCACTAGTCCTACGATATTCTCCTGACAAGGACAAGGGTGCACCATTCCCTCTGTAGGAACTGGGAAACTCATTTCTTGCAATAGAAGAAGAGGTTCTCGCAAAATCCTTGGATTGAGATGCTGGCATCATGCTGTCTGAGACATCCCTTGAGTGAAACATGTGTTTCTCCCCTTCGTAAGATTCAATGGGCATCAGTTTATCCAACGCTACTGAGTCCCAATGGCAAAGTTTTTCATGCTCATATGGATCTATATCCATACCCTTTGATGAAGATGGTGGACTCCCACCAGTTTTTCCATACTTGATAAGACCCAAATCAGAAGGCAATTGACCTGACCCTCTTATTTCAGCATCTTCCACTGGCATCAATTTCTGACTCAACTCTGCATGCCCATCAACACTCACAAACCTGTTTTCAAGATAGTGATTCTCCTTCCTTATCCTAGAAGTACCATGATTGTGCCTGTAAACATGCTTGGATCTAGAACTTGTACCATGTTCAAAATCCATAGGATCATACTCGCACTTCCTATTCACAATCTCCTCCTCAGAGTGAGCTATTTTGTGCATATGCCTATATGAAGGCAACCTTGGGCGTTCCTTTTTACTTCTGCCACTACTGTAATGCCGGGCATATTCCTTCTTCTCAATGGAACCACTCCTTGTCTCCCTAACCAAAACCCCCTGAGGCCCATCTACCACGGGAGGGCTCACGTTCCTCCATCTTTGCAGAGACTGTTTCACGACCTCAATACCTGAACCCTGATATGGGTCATGGTCTATTTCATCCATGTGTCGGTTTTGCAGCATAGCAGCTGGAGGTAGTGTCCCATGAGCTTCATTTCTTCCAGACTGCATCTTCACTTACCAGCGAAACTTCTATATATGTACTTAATTGACTATAGTTTAACAAGTCGTAGTACTTCAAGCAGATCAAGTATGAAATTAACTTAAATATCCAAAGCTAGAAAAACCCAGTACCCAGTAAACAGCACAAGATCATATAAAACACTTCAACTGATTGCAAAAGAGGGATATGATATCAGACCTTGTCCTGATGTGGACCGAGATAATCCATGGCCAATCCCTAAAGCTTCCTCTTAGGGTTTTGCTCCAACCAATTGCGTATGGATTTCTCTAATTGGTGGATGTGTATCGGGAAATTGATCGGCGATTGTTGAAATTCAGGTGAGGGATGGACGACTGGTAGTGCGAATTGTTTTGCATCTGATTCATTTGATGCTCCTTTAGTTGCCTTGCTTAATTAGTTATGTATTCATATGGAGTTGCGATCGTGGAAAAAGGGGTGTGCAATGATAGACCTTAAAAAAATTAAAAAAAGAAATAAAAAATGAAAAGAATTTTATTGTGACTCAATAATTAAATATAATAAATGAATAATAATACTAAAATTAATAAAAAAATATTTATTTATTTTTAAAAATAATAAATAATTGAAAAAATATAAAATTGAAAAAAATAATTATTTAAAAAAATAGTATTTATCGAGTAAAAAAGTGCTATTTGATGGATTTTTATTTTTATTTTTTAACATGAAAGAATTTTGAAGAAAAGGAATTGATTTCATAAAAATTGAAATTAAAATTTTAATTTTAATGAACTTATAACCCTACTTAACGCACAACTAGTGCTGTGGGTGCGGATGAAACGTGGGTTTGGTGACATTGAAAGCTGTCGGGCATACTCATGACACTGTGTTGATTTTTGGAAGAGAGACGATATTTATGGAAAGATATTTATGGAAAGATACTTATGGAAAGACATTAGGATCAAATGTTAGGTAGAACTTGTGTGAGAAGTTTTTTTGAATTTTAAAAATTTTAATTATATTAAA